GGTAGTGTATATATATATATATATATATATATATATGTAATATAAAAAACAGCATAACAGAACTAGAAGTTGTCATGAAAATAATCTTTCTTCTTTTGATTTTGGTCTGCCCTTTGACCCGGAGGTGTTTGTGTGAGCCTGACGCACACTGCTCACAAGCTCTCAGTATTCGCAGCTGCGCAGTGAGGTCTGCAGCGAGCGCATGTCCTTCAGCAGACGCAGAGAGTCTCGGCTGCGCTCACCTGGTCTGGCTTTGACCTCCACGCGACTCGAGACGTTAACCTGTGCTCCTTTCCCTCCACCGCAGCTCTGCCGTCTCCTCAGCTTCTCCATCTGACAGAAACACAGTTCAGGGAGCGCTCGACACTCACTAGCGCACAAGTGTGTGGAAAAAGTGCTATTTTTTGCATTTATTTTGATTGAAAACCATATTTATTAATAGTAACAGTAATAAATAATGGTATTTAACAGTAGTAGTAGTAGTACTAATAATAGTAGTAATACTATTAATAAATAATAGTATTTATTAGTATTTTCAATTAGTTGCATTTTTATATTTAAGTTTTAGTAAGGCTTATTAGTCAGATTTTGTTGTTTATTTGTTTGCCTTTATTAACTTTAATTATTTGTTATTTTAGTTTTAGTTTAGTTGTTTTATTTTTTAGATTTAGTCATTTTAGTACTCTAAGTCAGGGATATTATAGTTCATTAAAACTAAAAACCAAAATCATTAAAAAAAAAAACAGTACAAACTTTGATCCTATCTGTATTTAATTTATAAACATATCTGCCATCAAAAAGACTTTATTTATACATTTTTAAATATTATATAATATTAAATTAAAATGTTTTCTAAGCTATTTTGTGTGGTAATTAAACGTTTAAAAACATGAAAAAGGATGCATTGTGTTGATCAAAAGTGACTGTAAAGACATCTATAATGTTGCAAAATATTTCTGTTTCAAATAAATGCTGTTCTTCTGAACTTTCTATTAATCTGTGAATCCTGAAAAATAAAACGCGTCACGTTTTCCACAAAAATATTAAAGTTTCCAACATTGATAATAATCAGACATGTTTCTTGAGCAGCAAATCAGCATATTAGAATGATTTCTGAAGATCATGTGACACTGAAGACTGGAGTAATGATGCTGAAAATACAGCTGCGCATCACAGAAATAAATTACAGTTTAACAGATATTCACATAGAAAACAGCTGTTTTAGATTCTAATAATATTATACTATTTTTACAGTATTTTTTAGAAGAGACTTTCAAATTGAAAACTGAATTATTCCCAACTTTAGTGCTTTTAACATCAGCCGCCTTTCCAGTATCCATGCATCTTAAGTTGCATTATGGGCCGCAGTTACCTGAGCTTGATGTCGCCGGACTTTAGCGATCTGTTCTCCTTTATTCTCCATCCTCTTCACCAGCGTCTCCATCTCACGCTCGAAATCCTGCCGCAAGCGATCCGAACCGCACGACTGGATCTGTCTGGCCAATTCCTGCTGCTCGCTGACACACAAACACAGTCACTAGCATTGGGAGAAACTGAGCTTTCTGAATCGCTGAATCAATTGAATGAATCGCTTCACAAAATGATTCACTCTTTCCAAGCGTTAAAAAACACAAGCTGGCAACACCGCCGTTTACAAACCAAATGCTGTCATGCATGTGCTCTCTATTAAATTCAGTCTACAAATGATTTAATATCATTAAAATATGAAGTGTGAGAACAATTTGAGTTCTTTTATTCATTTACATAAAATAATAATTATTATTATTATTATTATTGATTTAATGGAATGTTCATTTTTGGTGAATTTTCCCTTTAACCTTTATTCTTTATTTTAGTATCATTAAAGTAGCATACTATTTATTAATATTTTTAATTAGTTTAAATTTTTATATTTAAGTTTTAGTAAGGTTTATCCGTTTTTGTTGTTTATTTGTTTGCCTTTATTAACTAATTATTTTTTATTTCAGTTTTAGTTTAGTTGTTTTAATTTTTAGATTTAGTCATTTTAGTAATTTAAGTCAGGGTTATTATAGTTCATTAACACTAAAACCACAATCATAAAAAAAAAAGAATTGTTACTTGAAACAAAATAAATATCAATTGAAATAAAATAAAATATAAAAAACAAACTTGTTTAAATTCCGTGACTTTTCCATGGCAACATTTCTGTTTAGTTTAACTTGATGTACTAAAATAACTAAAGCTGAAATAATAATAAAAAGTAAACTATATAGACATTTTAAAAAACAACAAAGACAAATAAAAATGATAATAACACACAACAAAATCACTCAAACTTTAACTATAATTAGCATGAAAGCAGAAAATATCTTTTTTTTTTTTTATTATAATAGTATGTCATTGATATTAAAATTTCAAGTTAACCTAAAAAATGTGAAAATGTTGCCTTGGCAACTAACAGAAATAAAAACATCTTTTAAATATATTATTTCAGTTAACATTTATTTTATTTCAATGTAATATTTTTCGTTTTAGACACTGTTCCAAGAGAGGGTGGAAACCGTTTCAGGGCACTAATAAAACGACAGTAAGATGAAGAAAAAGCCTCACAAGCTCATGTGTCCAAACTCGTCCTGCAGCGTCAGCAGCAGCTCTGACAGCTCCTCCCCACAGGAAGAGGAAGAGGAGGAGCTACTGCTGTGATTGGTGGAGGGGGCGTGTCCCAGCACCCGCTCGTTACACAGCTGAGGATGATGCTGCTTCATGAGATGAAGGACGTGCTGGACGTTTGCTCGCACTGAGTGACTCGAGCCTGTCGACTGAAGACACACACACACGTTAACGTCCACAATGCTGCTCCATATTACACATCACACACGCTCTGGTTTGTCACTTAGGGACAGTGTAAGCGTCAGAAATGATCATAAAAACTCATTTGCAACTGTTTTTGATGCAAAAAACCCTTGACTGAGGTGGGAATAAGATCAAATGTCACAGTGTAAACCGATGTGTTTGTGTCTTTACCGTCCCGGTCACAAACGGCACGTCTCCCAGACTGAGTCTGTAATGCGGCTGCGGCTGCGACGGATGTTTCTGCAGAAACACACACGAGCATCTCATCTCAGTAATTAAATCAAGTCAATCAAGTCAAATTTATTTGTGTACAGCAATTATCGCAATGCACATTCAAAGCAGCTTTACAGAAAGTCATACTGTTATATCTTTAATGTTTAGCGCTTTACCAAGAGCAAGTTTTAGAGCGGATATATGTTGTTTTATTCTATTAAGAGATATAAATATCGGCAGGTTTTGTTCTTCTTAATATCGGTCCGTTTTGTTCTATTACAAGATTTAAATATTTGTTGGCTTTGTTTATTAAGAGATTTAAATATTGTTTGATTTTGTTATATTATAATACTTAAATATCGGTCGGTTCTATTCTGTTATGAGATTTTAAACATCGGCTGGTTCTGTTCTATTATGAGATTTAAGTATCGGTCGGGTCGGTTCTGTTCTGTTACAATATTTAAATATCGGTCAGTTTTGTTCTATTATGATATTTAAATATCGGTAGGTTCTGTTCTACTACGAGATTTAAATATCGGCCAGTTTTGTTCTGTTACAAAATTTAAATATCGGCCGGTTCTGTTCTATTATGAGATTTAAGTATCGGTCAGTTTTGTTCTGTTACAAGATTTAAATATCTGTCAGTTTTGTTCCGTTACTAGATTTAAATATCGGTCGGTTTTGTTCCGTTACTAGATTTAAATATCGGTCGATTCTGTTCTATTACAAGATTTAAATATCGGTCGATTCTGTTCTATTACGAGATTTAAATATCGGTCGGTTCTGTTCTGTTACAAGATTTAAATATCAGCCGGTTCTGTTCTATTATGAGATTTAAGTATCGGTCAGTTTTGTTTTGTTACAAGATTTAAATATCGGTCGATTCTGTTCTATTACGAGATTTAAATATCGGTCGGTTCTGTTCTATTACGTGATTTAAGTATCGGTTGATTCTGTTCTATTACGAGATTTAAGTATCGGTCGGTTTTGTTCTGTTACAAGATTTAAATATCGGTCGTTTTTGTTCTGTTACAAGATTTTAATATCGGTCAGTTTTGTTCTGTTACGAGATTTAAATATCGGTCGGTTCTGTTCTGTTACAAGATTTAAATATCGGTCGGTTCTGTTGTGTTACAAGATTTAAATATCGGCCGGTTCTGTTCTATTATGAGGTTTAAGTATCGATCAGTTTTGTTCTGTTACTAGATTTAAATATCTGTCAGTTTTGTTCTGTTACAAGATTTAAATATTGATCGGTTTTGTTCTGTTACTAAATTTAAATATCGGTCGATTCTGTTCTGTTACAAGATTTAAATATCAGTCGGTTTTGTTCTATTACGAGATTTAAGTATCGGTCGGTTTTGTTCTATTACGAGATTTAAGTATCGATCGGTTTTGTTCAATTACGAGATTTAAATATCAGTTTGTTCTGTTCTAAAATAAGATTTAAGTATCGGTTGGTTTTGTTCCATTAAGAGATTTAAATATCAGCCGATTCTGTGCAATTGTCAAAAATCATCACTGAAGATATAATCGGCTGCCTTGTCAAAATTAGCCAGCTGTCAAAGAGTCTGATGTGATTTTAACATTTCTAAATGTAGTTAACAGTCATTAAAGCAACATTGTTGAGAAATAAAGGCTATGATTTTAATTTAAACTAGCATCTGATTTCAGGCAGAAGTACTGTATTGTGATGCTGGTCCTTACTGTGGTTTAAAATGACTTATATCATGGTGATTTTGGTAATATCGCCCACCTCTAAATAGTTTGTAGTAAGTAAACGTGTTCGAGGAATCAGATCTGTCTGCACTAGGGATGTTCATTTTAACCATTTAACCGGTTAACCGACGGTAAGAATTTTGACCGATTAATACAATCAGTTAAACGGTTTAAAAAGTCATTTAATTATTTATTTTTTCAGTAATTTATCAAAATATTTAAAACCGTTTACTGCATGGTTAAAATACGCTACGCATATAAAAAAAATTGTTTTTTAGGGAAAAAAAAAACCGCGTATAAGTCGCATTTTATTATTTCATTCAGAAATAGACCAAATGCCGACGCATAATGTTTACAAACATTATAATAAACACTGTAAACATAGCTAGTGTTAGTTCCCCTCACTCCACAACAAATCCTTTCAATTAACAGTATTTAGAAAAGAATTAAAGAATTAAAAATATAAGAAGCTATAGCAATATAAATGACAAGCCAAAACGAATTAATTTAGGCTAAAATGAAACATTGACCCAACGCTGGTTTCAATTATGTTTTCTCCGCTCGCAGAAGCGCTGCAGGTGCGTGATGTGATGCATGTGAATCCTCATGTTCTGTTGTTTGCTGCTTTTTGCGCATGTAACATTAATCCCCCGGACACAAATGTTAGTATTTTTAACGGGTCACAGACACTTATCCTTAATAATTTAATTCAATTCTAATTTAAAATAATCTTATCGGTTAACGAGCGTCAGTTGTCGGTTAGGGAAAATAACCGAAATTAACATCCTGCACTCGTTTACCTTTCTTGAGAGTTTCTTCTGTTTGATTCTGCTGGATTTATGTGGACGTGGAGACACAGACTGGATGAGCAGACGATTGGCTTCTAGACCCGTCTGCAACTGACCACAGAACAGATCAACACAGTTAACATCATACACACACACAGACGGACTGAGTGACAGGCGGACAGACGAACCTGAGCTGCTTTGTCCTGCACCAGTTTCCTCTGATGCTCCTCTTCCTGTAGTTTCCTCTCCAGCTGTCTGATCTTCCTCTCAGCGGCGCCCTGCGTCTCCGTCAGCCGGTGATACTCCAGCTCCAGCAGATCCAGCTTCTGCAGCTTCAGCTGAACATCGGCCCGATCCGCTGAACCCAGACGCTCCAGAGACACCTGCACAACACACACGGGATATTAACACACACACACACACACACCTGTCTCAGCGGGTGCTGTGTGTGTGAGACGCACCTGTCGTCGCAGCACAGCGCTTCGGTCTGATTCTGTGTTTCTCACGGTCTTCCTCATCTGCTCCAAATGTCTCTCCAAGCGTGAGCACCGAGTCTCGGCCGCAGTCAGCTGAGAGAGCAGATCTACAGACAAAAAGACATTTTGTTGCACATTCGCTGTTAATGTGAGGCGGGGAATAAATCTCTGTGTCAACTAATGCTGCTATTATTAACTAAAGCTAAAACTATTACAAATAACCTTCAGCAATTAAAGTAAAACTGACATAAGATTAAAAAAAATGAATATTACATGAAAAATGTAAAATGTTGGCAACTAACTGAAACAAAAAAAATTCAGTACTAAAATTAGTAAAACAATATTTAAAAAACAAAAACCAATTGAATATACTTTAAATATATATACATTTTTAAAAAAATGTCAAAAGCATGTAACAAATTTACTAAAATTTAAATAAATAAAATATATAATATAAAAATAATATAAATGTTACATGAAAAACTTAAACCTAAATATTAGAAATGCTGCCTTGGCAACACACCTGAAATAAAATAACTAAGTTGAAGTACTAAAATTACTAAAACTGAAATAAAAATACATTAAAGCTATATACAATTAGTTATATTAAAATTAATAAATTACTTAATATTAATTTTATTTTTAACATGTACACAAATTACTAAAAACATTTATTAAAATACCAAAAACACATAACAATTACTAAAACTTACACTAAAATTAAAATGAAAAATTTTAAATAAATGCTTATTAGATATTACATGAAAATGTTCCAAGTTGTCAAACTTAAACAAAAACAGAAATGTTGCCTTGGCAACTAACTAAAGAAATTACTTTTAGCTGACGTGCTTAAATTAAAAACGTTAAAAATTAATAAAAAAAACATAACATAAAAAAATTTAAAATTAATGTAATATTTAAAAAAATTTCATATATTTGAAAAATTTTAATAAATATATTTAAAAACATAAAATTACGAAACTTCAATTGAAAAGTAAAAATGTAAAAAAAATAAAAGCTTAATTAAGTATTCAAAATAAGTTTATTAAGTATTGAAAAATGAATAAATACTAGAATGGTACATAAGTAACACTAGTGTAGTGTAGCGAGATCAGTCACACGCTCACCATCGTCTCTGTGTCTGTGGTCTGAGTGTGTGGATTCTCTGGAGATGGTCTGGAGCTTCTGCTGAGCTTCACATCGCTCCAGCTCCAGCTCACGGATCTTCTCCTGCAGGTTCTTCAGCGCGGAAAGAATAGCTGCAAACACACACACACAGTTCTGCATTTATTCAGCTCACTCACCTCCTCTCAAATCAGACTAATCAAAACATGTGCAGCATTCAGCAACTCATTTCATAATGTGAAGCTCAGCCAATCAAAACAGAGCTCGTTTACATACGGAGGTCTGAAAGAAGCAAAAACAGTGGCTTTGAATGTAAATGCAAGAAAACAAAGAATCTGAATCTAAACTCTCCAGCAGGTGGAGCTGTTCACCAAGTATTCATCAATAAGTTTTATGAATATTTCATCACCAAAACTTTTAATGACTGATCCTGAGCAGAAATCGGCATCCAAACGTCTGTTTGAGATACTATTATAGATCGTATTAATAGTTTCAGTCATTTTTATTTTAATTAATTAAAGTTTCAGTAATTTTGTCGTTTTTGTAACTTTTATTAGTTTTTTTAATTAATTTTTGTTTTAGTTATTTTAGTACATCAAGATACTATTATAGAACTTTATAAAATATATTAACAATTTATTATTATTATTTTTTTAATTTCCATCATTTTAAATAAAGTTTTAGTAATTTCGGTGTGTGCTTTGTTGTTTTTAGTTATTTTAGTACATCAAGTTAATTTAAATAAAATTGAAAAATCCCTGGCCTACATAAAATAAGTTTACATATATATATATATTTATTTATATACACTATGATTCAAATGTTTGGGATCAGTAAGATTTTTATTACTTTAAGAAGTCTCTTCTGCTCAACCAGGCTGCATTTATTTGATCAAAAATACAGAAAAAAAACTGTAATATTATTAAATATTATTAGAATGTAAAACAGCAGTTTTCTATGTGAATATGTGTTAAACTGTAATTTATTTCTGTGATCAAAGCTGTATTTTCAGCATCATTACTCCAGTCTTCAGTGTCACATGATCTTCAGAAATCAAGAATTCAACACGTTTGTGGTTTTAACAGGTAAAATTTGCCTGTTACATTTTTTATTCAATTTAATTTTAACTATCAGCGTCAAGTCACACTCCATTTTAAATTAATTAAAATAAAATGAATTAATTAAAATATTTCTAAATACTACGTCATTTTATGTACGAAATGTTTTGACTGGCATCCTCCTGCATGTTTAAAGTAACTCGCTCATCGTCACACAGACTATACTGAGAGCTGAAGCACTGAATTATTCATGAGAGACACATACAGCTGTCAATCACTCTCTATACGCTCAAGCCTCGTGTCATCAGTGCATCTGAGCGAGTGCAGGATCTCCGGTGTGTGTGTGTGTGTGAGTGAGTGAGAGTGAGTGAGTGAGTGAGTGAGTGAGAGAGAGAGAGAGAGAGAGAGAGAGAGAGAGAGTGA